CACGGCACGGCCGGGGATGCTGGCGGGATGCCGGGCGCCGGGGCGGCCCGGGGGCTGCCGACGTGGGTGCTGCCAACGTGGGTGCTTCTGGCGTGGGTGCTGCTGGCCCTGCCACCCAGCCTGGCCCAGCCCCAGCCCAGCGGGCGCCGGTGGGTGACGGAGAAGGAGGCCCGCTTCGACACCACCTACGCCGACTGGGTGGGCGCCGACCTGATCAACATCTACGCCTTCAACCACAGCGTCCGGCGGAACCGGGTGAGCAGGCGGGGCGGCTGGAGAGGCCCGCTGCCTCCCTGGGCTCCCCGTCCCCTGGGGTCCCCCCGCAGCCAGGGCTTTGGGGCGGGCGGCGGGGACAAGTCCTCCACCACGAGGGCCGAGCAAAGTCCGGCCGCCGGGGCCCAGCCTGCCGCGGCCGGTCCTGCCCCGCCAATGCCTCGCCTTCCCGCTCTCCCCGCAGACGGAGGGGGTGCGGGTGTCAGTGAATGTCCTCTCCGACCACAAGGATTTGCCCGTCCTCTTCGTGGTGAGGCAGAAGGAGGCCGTGGTCTCCTTCCAGGTGCCGCTCATCCTCCGGGGCCTGTGAGTACTGGGGAGGACCGGCGGGCGGGCAGGGGTTCCGGGGGGCCGGTGGGCACGGCACGGCATGGCACAGCTTGGCGGGCGCTCTGCCTGCCCAGGTACCAGCGGAAGTACGCGTACCAGGAGGTGAGCCGCACACTCTGCCAGCCCCAGACCAAGGCGGAGGTGGAGACCCAGCACTTCTACGTTGACGTCTCCACGCTCTCCCTCAACGCCTCCTACCAGCTGCGTGTCACCCGCGTGGAGAACTTCGTGCTGCGGTGAGAGGAGCCCTGCGCCCCGGTCCCCCTCCCTGCCCACTGCCTGCCAGGGCTGCCTGCCGGGACGGTGGGCTCCCCTCACCAACCATCATCTCGCCCGTGTTCTCTGCAGGACAAACGAAAGGTTCAGCTTCAACGCCACAGCCGCCCAGCCGCAGGTGAGGAGGAGCTGGCACGGCACAGCATGGGATGGGGTCTGTGCCTGGGGAGGAAAGTGTGGCCACCATGCCAGTGACGGGCTCTTCCCCTGCCCAGTATTTCAAGTACGAGTTCCCCGAGGGATTGGACTCGGTGATCGTGAAGGTGACCTCGGCCATGGCCTTCCCCTGCTCTGTCATTTCCATCCAGGACATCCTGGTAGGTTTGGGTGGCAGGGCCTCCCATCCAGGTGACACCTGATGCCCGACATGGCTGATGGCCCCTCTGCCCCCGCAGTGCCCCGTCTACGACTTGGACAACAACGTAGCCTTCATCGGGATGTACCAGACCATGACGAAGAAGGCGGCCATCACGGTGCAGGTGGGCGCCAGCCCACTCCCAGCCCTGGCCTGGCGCTGGCGGGTAGTGCCGGATAGCAGAGCTTGCAGAGGTTACCGCTCTGGTGCGGCCCCGAGCCCCACAGCGAGCCCTGGCTGCGTGGGGCAGTGTGGGAGGCCCCCTGGTTGGGCTCTGCTGACCTCTGTCTCTCCCCCCTCCCTGGGACGGCCGCCACAGAAGAAGGATTTCCCCAGCAACAGTTTCTATGTGGTGGTGGTGGTGAAGACGGAGGATGAGGCCTGTGGGGGGGCTCTGCCCTACTACCCCCTCTCCAAAAATGCCTCACCAGGTACGCTGGGGCGGGGAGGGTGCTGCAGGAAGCCGTGGGTCACAGGCTGGGGAGCAGCATCTGCAGAGGGCTGAGCCCCCGGCCCATGCCTTCTTCCAGATGAACCCGTGGATCAGCACAACCGGCAGAAGATGCTGGAGGTGACGGTGTCGCCTGCCATAACCTGTAAGCCTGGGAGGGGTCGGCTGGGGCTGGGGGGTGCTGGGCTCCACAGGGGGTCCCGCGGCAGCTCCCCAGGGGTGCCGCTCTCCCTGAGGGCTCGTCCCGGCTCTGCGCAGCGGAAGCCTATGTCAGCAGCATGCTCTTCTGCCTGGGCATCTTCCTCTCCTTCTATGTCCTCACGCTGCTCATCGCCTGCTGGGAGAGCTGCCGGTGAGTTCCCGGGCATCGCTGCCCTGGCCACCCTGTCCCCTCTGCACACCCCATCCTGTCCCCAGCACAGTGGGGGTCCTCGGGCGTGCTGTGGCCCCCCCACCCCAGCTGCTGGCATGGCGCTGCTTACAGCCGCTTCCCTCGGCAGGCAGCAGAAGAGGAAGGGGCTCCTGGCAGCCATGGACTCGCCCAGCCTGGACACGGGTGAGGGACTGGAGGCTGCAGCCAGTGCCAGCGGCACACAGCGGGGGGGGGTCTGCCTGGGGGCTTCCCGGTTACTTTGCCGTCTCAAGGCTGTGGCAAAGCCCTTGGTTCTGCAAGAGATCCCCACTGTCCCCCTGAGCCCCACTTGTCCCCCAGTGCCCCAGGGGACAGTGCCCATCGGGACAAATCCCGATGTTGGGGGGACAGGGATGTCCTGGGGCTCGGGCTTGACGGCTCTGGGGCTGGCAGGGCTGCACTGGGGCTGGGGTGTCTCACCAACTCTGTCTCTTCCTTTCCACGGCTTTCTGGGGACTCCCAGCATCTCTACTGGGTAGGTGCCAGCCTCGGCTCTGTCCTTGCCTGTGAGCTCGCTCCCGTGCCTGCGCAGGTGCTGCTCTGTGCCAAATGGCTGGGCAGCCCCAGGCCAGGGGTGCCACGGGAGGCTGCCAGTGGCTGACAGAGACCCTCCCATCTTGCAGGGCATGCCCGCAGCATCCCTGACTCCTTCCTGGGCCATGCTCCCTATGACAGCTACGGTTACGGCTCCTTCGGTGAGTGCCGCGCGCCATTCCTCGCGTCCCCGCCTGTCGGCGGGCGGCCGTGCCACCCACCCCATCTGGCTGTCCTTGCAGGGAACGGTTCCTCCGGCAGCACCGAGGGCGTCACGGACAGCATGGGCTCGGCAGAAGTCCCCTATGGCTACGTGGGTGAGTCCCGGGGCAGCGGTGCAGTGGTTGGCATGGCCGCAGCCCTGCAGAGCCAGCGTGCCTGGGCAGCGCCAAGCTGCCCCAACAGAGGTGTGCTGCCAGCAGCGTCCTAGCTTGGCCACTCTCTGTCTCTTGGGAAGGGTCCCTGGGTTGCCAGCCCCTCCGTGCCAGCCCACAGCAAGGTCTCTATTGATGCCAGCAGGGCGGACATGTGCCAGGGGACCCCCACCCCAGGCCTTGGCCCCGCTCCTGCTCCAATAACTCTTGCTTTCCTTTGAAGGGCAGGAGCAGTTCAAGCGGCGCACGCCCTCCACCCCGATGAGGCCGCTGAGCATTGCCATGGGTAGATGCTGGTACCGGGCAGGGATGGGCCAATCAAGCCAAAATCTGGCCTGCCCCAAGCTGGCGCCCGGGGCGCTGAGCACCTCTGCGCCCTCCTCCCCCTGCTCAGAGTGGCCTGGCAGCCCCCTCCCGCGGGCAGAACAGCGCCCGAGGGGCTGCGGGGCAGGGGGAGGACATCGTCCTCCTGGCCCCCAGCTGTCCCCAGCCCAGCAGAGCCCTGGGGGTCAAGGGTGCGGGGTGATGCTCGCCCGCACCGGTACAGCCGGTGCGTGTCCCCGGGGCAGCACAGGGGTCCATGCGGAGCTGGAGCCCGTCCCCAGCGTGAGTTGGCGAGGAGGCAGCCGAGCAGTTAATTGGGGGTGATTGGGGTCCTGCGGGGCGGGCGCTGAGGGAGGCTCGTCCAGGGTGGGCTCTGCTGATGGCCCCCGCTCGGCTGCAGGGGAGCGGTCGCTGGAGAACGTGGCCGGCCGGCCGCGCCTGGACTCGCTCAGCTCCGTTGAGGAGGACGACTACGACACGCTGGCCGACATCGACTACGACAAGAACGTCATCCGCACCAAGGTGCGTGTGCCGCCCTGTGCCCCCCGCCCCCCCCGCTGGCTGCTCCCCACTGGCCAGGGTGAACCCGTCCACCTGCCTCTCCTTCCAGCAATACCTCTGTGTGGCCGACCTGGCCCGCAAGGACAAGCGGGTGCTGCGCAAGAAGTACCAGATCTACTTCTGGTGAGTGGGGGGCAGTGGGGCAGAGCCGTGTCCCAACCTGGGGCAGGCAGCGGGGGTACCCCTGACACCTGCCCTGCCTCTCCCAGGAACATCGCCACCATCGCTGTCTTCTATGCCCTCCCCGTTATCCAGCTCGTCATCACCTACCAGACGGTAAGCGGGGCCATGGCAGCACTTGGGGCTCCCAGGAGCCCGGGGGGCTGCGGTCCCCAGCCGCCACAGGGATGTCCCTGGGCATCCACCCATGTTCCCAGGCCCCGCTGCCGCTGCTCTCACCATGCCCGCCCATGCGCAGGTGGTGAATGTCACCGGCAACCAGGACATCTGCTACTACAACTTTCTGTGCGCCCACCCGCTGGGGAACCTCAGGTGGGTTCGGGCGGGGGGGGGGAAACGGTGGGTGGCTGGGGCTCAGGTGGGGTGGTGGGGCCCCAGGGATGGAGAGGGGTCCGCGGCACCCACATCCAGACTGTCCCCGGCAGCGCCTTCAACAACATCCTCAGCAACCTGGGCTACGTCCTGCTGGGCTTGCTCTTCCTGCTCATCATCCTGCAGCGGGAGATCAACTACAACCGGGCGCTCATGCGCAACGACACCCACGCCCTGGTAAGGGGTGGGTGGCTTGCCTGGGGGGGGTCTCAGCTGCCCAGGACCCCCCTGCTTCCCCTCCCTCCCCTCCCATCCCCCAGGAGTGCGGCATCCCCAAGCACTTTGGGCTCTTCTACGCTATGGGCACCGCCCTCATGATGGAGGGGCTGCTCAGCGCTTGCTACCACGTCTGCCCCAACTACACCAATTTCCAGTTCGGTGAGTGACCCACCTGGACCCCCGCCACTGCCTGCGCCAGGGCCACCCTGCTCACCGCTGCCCCTCTTCCCCCGCAGACACCTCCTTCATGTACATGATTGCGGGGCTCTGCATGCTGAAGCTCTACCAGAAGCGTCACCCGGACATCAATGCCAGTGCCTACAGCGCCTACGCCTGCCTGGCCCTCGTCATCTTCTTCTCCGTCGTCGGTGTGGTGAGTACTGGGGGTGCTGGGGGGGGGAGGGGGTCAGTCAGTCGGTCCCCCCAACCCGCTGCCCGCCACCCCTGCTCGCCCTGCAGGTCTTCGGCAAGGGGAACACAGCCTTCTGGATCGTCTTCTCTGTCATCCACATTGTGGCCACCCTGCTGCTGAGCACCCAGCTCTACTACATGGGGCGCTGGAAGCTGGGTGAGGCGGGGGGGCACCGCCGCGAGCGGGG